ATATAAATCATTAACAAATAACACAGAAAGTTCAAAAAGAGTTCAATTGTCATCAATTTAGAATTCATTTTCAGATACAAAAAGAATTCTTTTTGTGATGTCTGGGTATATATTCTCTCACTCTAACTTATACTGCTTCATTCTATATAATCTTAATTAAAATTATAGAGTGAAATGGTATAAGCGAGAGTGAGAGATAGCATATATACAGAAATTACATATATTTTTCTCTCTCTCTCTCTCTCTCTCATGAGATTTTGATCACTTGTGGCCAGACTTCGTTATAGAGTCTCTCACACAGGACGTATGAAAACGGCAAACACGTCCGAATGATGCATCTTCCCGTTGCTACATTTACACGTCTGTTGGACATCAGCTAGATTTTGCGAGTTCTTCTACGTCAGGAAGAATTTAGCTGTTCCAAAAGTGCCCCCTCGAGATTTTATACTGGGTGATCCAGAATTCACGAATTCGAAGTACAGAGCATAAAGTATTATGCTAAAACAAACATTTGCAAAAGGAAAAAATTGTTTCTTTTAGCATAAGGTATCATGTCCTGTACTTCGTGAATTCGTGAATTTCGGCTCACCCTGTATAAAAGATGCACGAATAAAAAATCGACGAATGTTAAAAAAAAATATATCGACGTAAGCTTTACGATGATGTTTACGACGATCCGTGTTTATTCAAAAAAAAGGAAAACGCACATCCGCGAACGGATTTCCATTATGCATAATCACGTGGCGCGTAGGAAAATATAATTAATGATGGCGAAGCGGATCTAACGCACGACTCGAAATCGCTATAATTAACCGCGAGCGATTTCACGCTAATTGCAAACAATGGAACGCGATTAATGACGCTCGGATCGTTATCGGTTTACTCCCGCATGCCTGTATATATTTCTCTGTCACTCGCGAAACTTCGAGCTGTCACTCGTTGTTGTTCTGCATGAAAAATTTCACGGCGCGGTATTTGAACAGAGCTGAAATTAATGAGAGACATCTCCAACACTTTATACATCATTAAAGATATCGCGGAAAATATATCTGGACGATAAATAAACGTTGGTGGAACCGAGTAAAATATTGGAGAAAATTATATGAAATAGCACGCGACGCGACGCGACGCGAGGCGACGAGACGCGACGATTGCGAAAGCGTATCGCTTTAGCGTTTTATACGTATAAATTATATTCAAAGTGATTATTAAGCAGAGGCGATTGATCAATGAGAAAAGGAGCAGTAGGATAAAAAGATGCATAAGGGTTATCTGCGAAACTCGTCCGAAACAGGTTGATAATTATTGAAGTATCGATTAAATGCTCCGTTCACCTTGATTGATCAGCATTTATATCGTGGATACATCTACCTTGTCGGTTCCCTACAATTTTAAACCGGGTGCCCCATCCTCCGAGAATCCATCGCGGGCTTTTAAGCTGTAATGCGCCTGTTTTCGTTCCTGCTAATAGCGCCGTTAAGAGACCGAAATGTTAATTATATTACTCATAATCGCCAACGCAAGATTATCTGATGATCTTTTCTTCCAATTTTCATTGTACACACGGTTGAGGAATTATCGTGCATACGATTTACGATTAGTTCTACAATCGTTATTGTAGAGCCGATCGTTCAAGATTTCTAATTATAAATTCATAAATACGATGAGAGGAGGACGAGATATCGTATAATCGCCGAACGATCTTGTCGATGGAAATCGACAATGGGCGAAAGAAACACGACGAGAAGTTTCTGTTTCGTCCGTCGACGCGTTGCGTTGTCGCGCGTGTTGTCCGCTCGAATTCGCGCTCGCGCCTCACGACGATGGTAAACGTCGACAGAGATACGACGACGACGCGCGGTTGCGAGTTCACCGAGCCCTTAAAGAATCGCGGCCGCACGTATTTTTTTGTCGACCACCGCGATTTAACTGGATGTCGTTACTACGTTGTCGGGCATTGTTGTCGGTCCCCGGGCCCCGTTCATCGGGGTTTACCCTCCGCTCTTCCACAGCCCAGACCCAGACCCAGCCGCGTGGAGCGCGGAGTCGGCCTCTCCTCTCCTCTCCACTCCTCTCCTCTCCTCTCCTCTCCTCCCGCCTCTTCTCTCACGCCGCGCGTCTCATCCCGATTCCCGCGTTCGCTCACCCGCCGCGATCTCCGATCCTATATTTATTGTATCGAAGAGACCAGAGCCGCCGCATTCCTCGCGCATGCGCCGCCCGTAATGAGCGGTCTCCAGTCTCCTGTCTGTCTTTCCGTCCGTCTGTCCAGAGGACCGGTCGCCCGATCGCCTTCCATACCCCTTACTCGTCCCTTCTCCAGAGATATCTCCCTTCATGCCCCTCAGCCCTTTTCCTTCTTCTCCGCTCGTCACCGCTGCGCCGCTTCTGCCCGCTATTCTTCGCTCCCTCGCTCTCTCGCTACTTTCATCTCGTCACTGTCGACCGGGACATTCGTCCATATACGCGAATCAAATTGCACCTTCCTCGCGAAATTCATTTTTTCTTAATTCGCCCGATCGAGATAGCCGTTAAAGAGAATATGAAAGAAAGACGGTATTGTTACGCTTGTCCGGATAGTTGTAATAGCGTAGCGCACTATTAAACCAAAGCACAAAAAAGTAAAACCACATTTTGCATCGCCTTAAGCGGTAACTCGATCAGCCAGAAAATGTTGACGCGTTTAGTCCTCTCGCAGTTATACGGACAAGTCCTATCTTACGCAAAAACGTTTCTTACTGAATCCTCGCTCGATTTCCCGTTTGGAGAGATCAGTATCTACGATTACGAAAAATTTTCTTTATTTCATTTCAGCGCCTTGAATAAACCTTGAAAATAATTTCCCGTTTGCGAGAGAGAAACAACGAGAGAAAGATTAAGGCGTTGAAACGTTGAAACAAGGTGTATACGGGTGAAGACTAACGTTCGCAGAATCTGCCGCGAAACGACGACGACGATGACGACGACGACGACGACGACGACGACAACGACGACGATGACGATGAGAAAGAAGCTCAGGGAAGAAGGATGAAGTAACGAACGAGACAAACGCGCTCCAAGTAGACGAGGCTGATGTTTTATGCCAAATTAAACGATACTATCCCGTACGTCACCTCGTAGAGACCAGTCTTCGTTCCACTGCCATTTTCGGAAAACCGCATTTTACACCGGCTTAGCTGACAAAAAGCGTGTATAATTGCGCACAATGCGGCGGACAGCCCAACAAAAATCCAAGCGTCGTTTAATAGCACGCGGTGCGCGCGCGAACTTTGGAATCACGACGCGACAGTGACCGAAAAACAAGCGAGATGCGCGAGATGGTCCGTGATTCTAATGCCGCGGCTAAAACCAACGTGTGAAAAACAACGACGGATTTACTACTGGCGATCGGGTGGACTGCGATCGAGTACCTTAGACGTATACATCGCACGACGGAATGCTTTGAGCGGATCCGATACCTATTAAGATCGTAGAAAACGGATCTGCCTCGAAATTGCCTAGTCAGGATCATCCTTCCTGTCGATTCGCCACGCATTTTTAGCGCCACCGATACAAAACGCTCCGAGTTAGTCGCGCTGCATACCTAGCTACGCGTCCGATACATCAAATTACATCACTAGTGCACCGGTTAATCCGTATACGGGACGGTAGAAGATAAGCTCTCTGGTGTCAAAAATCATTGATGAAACTGTAGAAGGAGAACTGTAGTAGTCGTCGAAACCTATCGTGATAACAGCCAGAGAAAAGGTTGCGTTCGATTTAAAGAAATTTTCTTTGCTACGGTTAAAGAAAACATTTCTTTGATCTAAACATTATTTGATTTTTTTATTTGATTTAAAAAAATAATGTTTAAATCAAAGAAATGAAAGAAATTTGTTCTTTAGCCGTATAGCAAAGAAAATTTCTTTAAATCGAAGCAACCTTTTCTCTGAATGAATAGTTGCTTTCCATTTTCACACTCAGAGAAAGGTTTCTTCGATTCAAAGAAATGTTTCTTTGCCATATGTGTATGGTTAAAGAAAAAAAATTTCTTTCGTTTCTTTCATTTAAACATTATTTTTTTTTAATTAAATTTATTAAAGGCAAATTTATTTGAGAAATTCAAGAAATTATGTTCAAAGACATTTTTTTCTTTGACCGCATAACAAGAAAAAAATTCTTTGAATCGAAGAAACCTTTCTCTGGTTACACACAAATGATATATTGAGTCTAAACTTATGTATATTCAAATAATAACGTCACTACTTGCTTACTTTGGTGACAAAGTTATTGCATAACAACAAGTTTATAATCTATCTCACTTTTAATTTTTGAAACTCAGTTAACTCTCACTTGTCATTAAAGGAATCTGCATATCAACTGACAATGAGTTATAAACGAGAATTACCTGAATTTGATGCTTAAATGGCAAGCAATTAATGTCACGACAAATGGGACACATGGAGAAAATGCATTAGATCTATCCGTAGTCTCAAACGAATCCGTAGAACTAAGCTACAGGGAAGGAATAGAGAAAAGGTGTGCGAAGAGCAGAGAACGTGAACGACCGTCGGTACGCACGCGTGTACTTTGTGGTCACCCGTGGGGCTCTCCCCATTCAACCGGTGGCTCGACTCGCCCACTCGTTCGTTCATTCATACGCGAGGAACGCGATTTGAATCGATAAGCAAAACTCGGAAGCGTGTCTTCCTGCTACCTCCTCCGGTTAAATCCGCTCTTGACCTCCGGAGCGGCGAAAATCACCTTCGTTCGTCTCATTGCGTCGCCATTCGTGTAAACGCTTCAATGTTAGATATCAAAGGAATAGTAATTCAATCCTTTGACTTAAATAACATTTGATTATTTTTAACTTGATACATTTCTGTAGTTAGTTCCAAGGTAAACAACATCCATATTAACGTACGCTTTTGGTAAATAAATTTTAATCCAAATTTAATACATTTTCTTGATTTTAATTATTTAATTTCATTATTTTAGTTAAATTAAATTAAAAATTAACTTCAATTGAGTCAATTCGACATTATGAATTTAACAGCTAGTACAATTTTAGCACAATATAATAACAATGTTAATAAATAACAATAAACAACATGTGAATACAACTAAAAGTAATGACAAGGCCTTCTTAGACTCAGTTGGAGCTTAAATAATACTTCGATATGTAACTTTATGTATCTAGTTCTATCTAGTTCTATAAACTGCGTATAAATACTAATAAAAGTAATTAATATTGATTAATAAAGGACTAATGATGATATCATCTGTGCTCGCTTAGCATACTTTTGCCATGTCATTGCAGCTTTGAAGCAAGATGCGACATAAGAAGCACTTTATCGCGTGAAATTCAAATTTTTTACAACTGACTATTTAAATTCTTTTTTATTCATGCAAAATGGAGACAGCATCGATCCATCGTAAGGGTATAATCCCATTAGGCTTTAATCGATGATCCCTTCCACGCTTAGGGTCGGCTAAGGGATAAGGTTGCGGCGTGAAAATAGATACACAAGCTACCGCGGAGATACGGCGTTTTATTGACGTCGCAGGGTTCCAGATCTCACGGTCAAATGAAGACAGAGCACTGATGCGTTCCGCTCCAGGCTGACAATGTTAAAATCTCGGTTGTCAGAGATTTTAACATTGTCACGCTGGAGCGGAGATTTGAGTCTTATTCTCATACAAATATATTTATTCTACAGCTTTCCACTTTATGTAATAAATAAAAGTACAGGCTACAATGAGAGTCAGCGCAGATAAGCGGCACAAATTATTATGAAATAATTTAATTATTGTATATTATAGTTGATATAAAAAAGACATCATTTCAACTACATAATATTAAATTATTTAAACAATTTGCGCCGATTATCTGTGCTGACTCTCATTAGCCTACTTTTATTTATTTGTATTTGTATTATTTAGAATGTGAGAGTCCACTTGTAATTATTAGTTTCCAATAAAAATTCAGATTCTCTTCAGTGTTTGCCGATAAGTGTTTTTAATGAATTTGATACGACTAACTGATAACGTATAATCTATTTGAAGTGATGTCTGCTCACTTTCTTTATCAACTGCACTATTTTTCGTCATCGTGCAAATAATATCATTTCTCCGATAAGGTAGAAAGGTTTGTTATAATATCCTCTCGCCTTCCTGCACAGCGCGTTGCATTACATTGGCAAGAAAAGGCACGCGCAGCAAAGATCACCGGCTGGTGGGGATGACGTTTTGGGGATGATGGGGGTGGAACCCTCGAAGAGCACGAGGGCTACACGCGCCGATGACACTTACGCACACAAGTTCTCAAGACCGTTCGTCGCGCGGATGTTCCTTTGCCATACTTTCGATACGATCGTTTTCATACCAAAGTTGTTTTGCAAACAATTGCGTACACGAGTACAGAAATACTTGTTCTTACTCGTATTTCTAATCGCGATCGCGCCGAACGTTGAAAAATTTGTAATACTTATCGTAATTTGTGACCGACAACGTGTTGTGTTATGCATGCAGAACGTTTTACTGCGTTGCGTTCGGAAGAGGCTCGCTCAATTACCGATTTATAGATACTTAAAAAAATACGTATACAGAGAAAAAAAAATGTAACAACTGTGATCTTAAAAACTGTGCAATAATCGCGGAAAAAGTAGAGATGATTCATAGCAGCGCGAAAGATACAAGTTCAGTTTTTCCGTGATATAAAAATTATTTATTCTGTTCCTTCTATATAGACGTCAGTCGAGAAGAGAAAAAAAGAAATCTGCTAATGAATACACGAAATGTGGCAATCGGCAAACCATATATACACGACTACGTATAACCATCCTGCGTTTATGCAGCTACGAATGAACAGTAACGAATTTCACTCGTGGTTTCATTCTAGGAAACCGTCCATGGACGACGTCGGAAATCCTACCTCCGTCAACGCACGGTGAGTACTCTCTCAGTCCCGATTCGCGTTCTACGAAATCGCGCGAATTTATTAAGCACCTTTTTCTTATCTTGGGTAGTGTCCTAAGAACGGAGAACACACAGGTCTGATTTCGTACACGTGCAGAATTGTAATTTTAACATATCTACTTATCGATATTACTCATCGATATCTACCGTAATAATATATTTTACATAGTGAAGATTTCTTAAATACATTTCTGTTGGGCTGAAATTTACATAGCGATTTTTAAAAGCGCCACGCGCGTCTCATAAAAGATAAATTATCAAGGTGACAAAGATCTTCGCGTCGAGCACGTAACGTTCTTTCGGCACTACGGATGATTGCATTTTAACGATGTTACAAGCGCTCGTAACGTTCGTTAATATCGACATCTTCCTCCCTATCGAATGTCCGAAGTGGCGGAGCGATTTCCGTAGGTAAAACCTTCATGGGTAAATCTTATCGACTACGATCTACCCTTCGTCCTCCATCGAGAGCAGCCTATCTGCCGCCGTAACAATTGAACCCGTAATAGAATCACATTTATTCTTATTACCCGACGAGGTCAACCGACCAGCAAAACTTCGAAACCTTCTCCTTACTCCCATTCGACTTCGGATCGGCTTTCCTAAGCCATTCCACGACCTACGTTATTTTTCCCCCGAGCTCTCCGTCGTTTTCTCGCCATCCCACGCCGTGTTTTCCATGGTCCACTTTTGTTTATCCCTGCGGTTTTCGTTGCGATCCTAAAGCGAAACAATCGACTCCGTCATCCCAAATGAAAAGAGCGGAGCATTCCTTATACATATATCGCGAAATAAATACAAATGCCATTAACTCGAAATGGAACAGAAAAATTGCGCGATGTGTATCGTCGCGATAAGCGATGGCAAGATGTAATCAACGCCGCGATGTTTCGTTAGCCAACGATCCGACGTATTTAATATGTATAACCGTGACTCTCTCTCACACACACACACACACACACCATCCACCTACGTCGCGCGAAGAATCTGCCACTTTGTATCTTGCTCCCCATCTTGTGATGTACCTTGGAAGTTAAACTGCAAGGCCATCAAAGACTTTAACCGGGTTATGGAGATGCCGCTTTCGAGATAAATCGCGGAGTTTTTGCATAAAAATTCTTCCAACTGAACTTTGCGAGCTCTCTCTCTCTCTCTCTCTCTCTCTCTCTCTCTCTCTCTCTCTGTCTCTCTCTCGTTTTTTAATATTATTTTTATCAGGTAAATTAAAAATGTTAACCTAATATTTATACATCGATTTGTGAATTACGAAACTACATACAGAGTTAGTACATAATATGTGAAATATTAAAAAAGCAAGACAGCGAATCATCGCAGAGGCAATGTACGCGATGATAAAGGATGGTGGGCGTTACGAGGTGCATCGTCACTGGTATAACCGACGCCTGAGGCGACAGCCTTACGACGAGATGCGTTCTCTCGAGCCACCGTGCCGCGCTGCATCCGACGAGTACGCAGATAGAGAAATTTCGCGAGAACGGAGAAGGTAATCTCCGCACAGTACAGTATAGTATTTCTTCGTCGTGATCCGTTTGTGCGATTGTTTTTCTCTTAACACATTCCGTGCCGGGTTAATTTTAAGTGACTTGGCTATCACGCTGCGTGAGTCATCGGTAATCCATAGTATTTTTGTTTATGTTTGTTATATTTTGTTGATTAATATAATTTAATAATTATAAAAAATTATGAAAATTATTATTACAAAGAAGAAGGTCTAATGTATCAATACTGCGTATCATCAAATAAATATCATAATTATGTATCCATTGTACGACATTAAAAATTATTTTATAATTACACTGAATAAAAATGTATTGAATTTAAATAAATAATTGTTTAAATAAACATTAAGTAAACATTTCCTTATAGCAAATAAATATTTATCGATTAAAAAATAATACTTAAATTAAATTAAATTAAATTAATAGTTTTTATATCAAATAAATACATGTTTATATTAAAAGATTTAATAAGAAAATTTAAATAAGAGTCAGAATATGAAACGTATTTCTTAAGATATCATAACGAATATATTATTTCTTAGAAATTAAAAATGTTTATAATAAAAAAGTTAAAAAAATTACTAATAATATCCTTACGTGCGATTACAGAATTAAAAAAAACGCATACGCTAAAAATACATGTTTCGGCTGCAGAGTAAAGCCTTTTTCAATTATGCAATTTTCTATTATAATCGTCCTTTCAACTTTCTTCTTATTATTTATATTGAGAGTTCTATATTTTTTGTTAATTGAAATATTTAGTTATTACGATTGAAGCAAATAAATTTATTAAAATTTAGTACATTTGTTCAGTGTATATTTTTTCGAATGGCTTGAACGGAAAATCGAGCGTGGATGATCCACGCACAAGGTACGGAAGGTGTTAAATCTCTCGCGGACGAAAATCTGGCAGATCGGCAATCGCGATTTCGTCTTTCGGGGAAGACTTCGATGAGCGGTCGAGCCTGTCGCGAGCGCACGAGCGTTAGCAACGAAGAGACTCCTTCTGTACCACCATTAATATTAATGCATTCCGCCGTATTCTCGGCCGTATTGTACTCGCGTCGACGACGACGCGGCCGCCGCGTCCAACAATATCGCCCTCGCGTTCCTGTAAATGACACTGCACACAACGTCCGTGTCTCTCTTTACCACAGCGACGCGACCAGAGCCGACCGGAGCCGACCGGAGCGCGGCCGGAACGGAGCGGAGTTTTGTCTGCCGGAGCTGAATATTCACGCCGGCCAATAAATAAAACTCAAAGGAGGAAAGCGAAACAACGGGCCGCATTTTTCCTCGCTCGCTTTTCTTACTTCGTTGCTCCGTTGACTTCTCCCTCCCGAGAGGACCTCCGGAGAGAGACCGGCATTGTCGCATGGTTTCCTCCCGTCTTACGAAACGCGCCAGACAATGCGCGTTTCTACGCTTTTGCCTTCGCTTCATAGCCGATGCAACGTTACCGGAATCTACCGCTCCTCTTTCGCTCTTCGTCGCCGTCACCGAGAAGGCACTATTAACTCGATCTCGATGAGAGAAAGTTGTATCGCGCAATTTATATTTTCTATACGCATGCTTTAATTTCACTTGCGTTAAAGCACAAATGTCTTTCAAGCAATGCGCGCGCTTTCATGCTCATTGTATCAATTGATACTGAATTCGAAATGCGAAATTTGAGTCATATGAATTTCTTGCGTGGAAAATGCGGATTCGTTAGATTATTTATTTGAAAAATAACCTGTGGTACTTATTACGAAAGTGCTGTGTAGGAAGCAAATTTAGAGATCGGGTGCACTCAAGAATCATAAGTATAATCACAGAGTGCCTGCTTCTCGCAAAATTTTCTCCTTATCGGTTGATACAAAGACAAGATAAGATTTTTTGGATACGATGTCTATAATGGTAAATTATTATGTCATTAGAAAATTGCTGAAGACCTATTAATATGCTCTGCGATTTAACGATCAAAATCTTTTCCCTTTCCCTCAGATGCTGCCATTTGATGACACAAATCGATGCGATCGATCGTTCTACTTTTATTAATCACTGGAATGTCAAGAAAAATAGAATGTTTATTTGTATTCAGTAATGCCCGTTTCTACCAATATATATAGGTTTAACTTAAATCTCGGTCCAACTTGCTCTCTTCACCTTTTTTCAATTTTTAGAACTAGAAGAAGACAAAAAATTAGTTGAACATACTGAAAGGATTTTGTTAATTTAGCAAGCTACCAGTACCTTTAACCGGTGATCGGTAAATATGTGACAAATTTGGTTGTTGTATTTGCTGTTAGTCTGCTATACCAACTAATTATTAGTAACAGAAGCAAACTATATATATAGAATCTAACCTATCTTTTGGCTCGTTACTTAGACTTTAGGCTCGTTTACATAGAATTCGTAGATGAACGTGGACTCTTAAGTTGTAGGAAATCGACCAATCAAATATAGGAAGAATACTTGATTAAAATTGGTTAATTTCTTACGATTTGGAATCCTGCAATCGTTTACTTTATATATATATATGAGTATTTGTTAGCAATACTATGGATTATTTGTTACATTGACGAATTAAATGCAATCGTAACAAATCGATCAGTTTTTTAACAAATATTACATTTGCTTTCTCTTGATTTGTTCCTATAACAAAATCATTTCTCTCAATGCAGAGATTAAAATTAGACTACATTGATAGGAACAAGCAAATAAATGGAAAATAGTCATAGTTTAAAAGGGAAACGAAAAGAAAAGTGCAGTCTCTTTATCTCGTTTCTTCCGGTTTGGCAGATGACGAGAGGCACGATCGACCGGCATCAGAACGGAAACAGGTTGGTCGAGTTTTAAGCAGTCCAAAGACGTATCGCAAATTAGAAGAACGTGCGTCCGGCGAGTACACGTGGCGCCTGTGCCGCGACGTCGAATTTCTGCACGCGGCCCGCGTGTAGAATTCCTAATAAGTCAGAGAGTCAGAGAGTCAGAGCGCGGCTAGACAGAACAGAAGTCTCGCGCGCACCCGCGTATTCGCATGCGGCCTGCTCGCGGTAGAGACGTAGCGACGTCACGGATACGTGGGATTCCTCTCGAGCAGCTGGATCACGTGCACCGGCGGAACGTGAGGCTAACTTAAATGCGAATCAGGAACTGCAACGCGCGCCACGCCACGCCACGCCACGCCACGCCACGCCGAGCCGCATCCCCGCGCCGTTGCGGATTTTGAATGCCGCTCGTTCCGATCTCCATCGTTTTTCACGCTTTCGCCCTCGTCACCTATCGCTGTCCGATCTAGGAATCGAAAACTTATGCCATCGAAACCGATCGACATTTCATTTCATCGAATATCGTCGAGAAGAAAAGGATCTCGCGCCGTCAGACATTTTACGTGTATATATATATATATATATATATACGAGACTCAAATTATTCCATTTTTCTCGACATTCAGTAAGTAACTAAGATAGAACGACACTCGTATTGACTTGTGTTATCAAATAGAAACCGTTTATACCGTTATTTTGATTATCCGCGACATCGAAGTCACTTTTTCTTAAAAACGAAATACCGCACGGAATCTAAATGCGACGAAAAGTTTCTCGACATAAAACCAAGGGAGTAACAATAGGTATTTTCATTAGTCGAGTGGTTCGGTCCAACGGTAGATATTTGATTCGCTTTTTATCGCACGACTTCGCATTCCGGTCCGTGTAGTCGCTTCGTCGAACAGGATCGGAAAAACGTCCGCAACGCTGACTTCTCGATCGTAATGTCGGAAGAAACTCCGCTTAGAAGTAAACAGCATTGTGAATACACTCCGAATGGCGCTTTATTTATTCCGGAATTTCATTTCGCGCGCAAGAAAGCCCCGCTGTTGCTCTCCTATCAAAATAATATCTTGCGTCGGGTATTTTCTTCGAGAGAAGTAAAAGGTGTCCGAGTTTGCCTCCCTAACTCTCGTACGGCGGTTTTTAAATTCGCCTGTAAACTGAGGCCGATGTCTTATCTAATCTCAATATAATTGCGAGAGCGCGCGTCATATAAAATAGCTTATTATACTATAGAAAAGTTGATTCGGGGACTATAATACAGGGTTTGGAAATTAGCCTCGCCCGTCTGCCTATCTACAATGGTGATGATTATGTCTACTTATAGGTATAACTACCTACGTGCGCCAAACTACCCGTCTACCGTCTGAAATAATCTTCGCGGTCCTGCCTTCGCCCCCTTCTCGTCCGATGAGCTTGTCGAAACTAGTTTATGAAACGAGTTCGGAACCAATGACCTCTCCTCCGCGTAGTTCTACGATACCACGATGTAGTGACGAAGCTTGTTTATGTGTTACAGATTTGAGGAGAGACACTACGCTTTCGAAAGGTACGCTCAACTTCACTCAAAATGCATGCCGCTTTTTTTCCACTATACGTTCATGGTATTTTTCTTTTATTCCTGCGTGAAAGTCTGCCAGTTTCGTTTAGATTTGTGCCAAAAAAGGCATAGTGCACAACGATGAATGATTTAACGCTTATTATTAATACAGAAAAAAAAATAGTTTCTGATCACAGCTAATTGATTCTAATTAGCTGAAATTGCATTACTATAGCTATGAAATTTGCTAATACATACAAAGGATTTGCTGGTGTAGCTAATATAAGGCTAATGACAGCAAAATATTCATGTCTGTTACAGTCCATTTATTTAGCAACATAAAGTTAGTTGTCATAGTTATCGGATATGTCCGTGTAAAAGAAAATTGTCTCTACCACAGCAAATATGGTTTGCTGAAACTATATTGCTACCAACTTGTTCGCTGCACAGAAAATTATTTGTTGCAATGATCAATACCTCGATATAATAGCAAAATGTTTATTTGTTCCAATGATAATATTTAGATCTCATAGTGGTAATTAGACCTCAAGCCTACAACCTTAGGTATTCGTATAATACTACTGAATTTAGCTGCTATACCTAATTTTTAGTTGTGACAGCTAATCTTTTTTTTTCGTATAATAATGGCTGCATTCAGCAGAAAAACTAGCTTTGTAATTAACTGCAAAATTCTTTAATATGATTCATACATTTAGATCCAGTGAGGAACTAAAGGCAAGACCAATTAATATTAAAGAATTTTACAACAGTTGTAAAGCTACTTTTTCTGCTCAACACAATGATGCATTCTTCCACACACACACACACACACACACGCGCGTGTGTGTGTGTGTGTGTGTGCACGAAAGTCTCAAGACCGAACAGTCATTTAAAAGCGAACGTTACCGCAAAGTATGTAAGTGTTATCCAAATGCGAGACGTAGTCGCGATTCTCTCATAGTTATACATTATACATACGTGTTATTATCACGTACGCGCCCTATAATAATGACTTTTCGCATGGCGAGCAAACTATCGAATGAATGTCGTGTTCGGTGACGAAACGCGATTATGTAAAAACTATATATGAGTGGAGCGCGCGCCGAATTGCAAAGCAGCAGTTTTGGGGCTGTCGAATGCACTCGTTGTATTATAATGCACAGCCCAGCCGTGCTTTTGTTTTCCGTATGATTGCCGAGCGGCTTATTCTCGCTCCTTATGTGGATCGCGAGATGCTTTAAAAAACTCGAGGCATTTATCGCGCGTAGAAGGCGGGCCTCCGAGACGATCATTCGCGCCTTCGAGATCCCGAAGGGATTCGTCGCATCCGAATTTTGCTCATTTTTTTTTTCTTTCCTTTTGCACGTCGATACGTTTAGCTTTACATATTGCTCTTTTAATCATCGCCATTACAGTCGATCGCGTTTTATTGACACGACGGAGCTTCCTTATTACGACAGGAAATAGGAATGCAACTTATGGAGCGTCAAGAGGGTACAGGCGTATATAGAGTTCAATGCTCGTCGATTCAGCTCGGCACAATTCCACCCGAGCCCTACGACCGTCTTAAAAGGCGTTTTAAATCGGCGTGTCGTGAAAGAATCCCATAGAGATGCGGCATATAAAGGCATTCCATCAACCCTCCTACCCTTTTTTTTTTTCTTTTCTCATCAACGTTCAGCGTATCGATCTATCCCATTTCTCTCGTCCAGCTCATTGCGTATTTTCCGTAACGCGTATTATTCGTCTGTGAATAATTTATGTATTATTTTCCCGTCATCAGCGATCTCGACGATGCATAATTTATAATTTACGATTCGCGTTCCGATTCATTCGCGCAAGCGGTGCGACATACTCGCCTGACTTCTCAGAAATTTGCGATTCCATCAGACGTATCGTGCGAAACGTTAATAATAAAAACGAAAAAGCATATATTTGAGGATTGCCGCGACAAGTGTGTGGGCTCTCTCCTATTCATTTATTCCATAAATCTGACGATAAATAACCGACATATTGGGGCGTTCGCGTGGCTCCGGATCCCGCGGTTGCTTATCGTATCCCACAAATGCGCCGGAACGCATTTAAAATGTATTGAACTGTCATGGAGCAGTGGTTTTCCGGATTTTTACATTTTTCATCGGCGCCGGGGTGCAGGGCCCGCTTGGATTAGTGAGTTATTGTTGTTCTAAGTGCGTCGGTCAAAGGGAGTGAACCCCAAGTTCTGCCGCGGTAATCCTGATCATAACGGCTCGCACCCCACAAAAATCCCTCCTCGCTTTCTTCTCTCTCACCTCCCTTCGTCCCGAATTTCGCGCCAAATAGCCGCTATTTGCCGATGCATTTGTTGAATTTCGCAACCGAATTCACGATTTTCGCAATAAATAAATCAATCTGCAGCGTGAAAACGATCAATCGTTATTACTAGTGCGATCGAGATGTAACAATATAATTGGTTTATACATTCAGATCCAATGAGGAACTAGATCAACCATATTAAAGAATTTTACAACAGTTGCAAAGTTGCTTTCCCTGCTGAACGCAGCCAGCACCGAATTAGAAACACGAAAATATATAGGAATCAGATGTGTATCGGTGTGCTAAAAAATTATTCATGCAGTTAATATAATAAAATATAATATAAAAATAAATGGTTTACAATGACTGATAACATTTCGGCTCTAGTCCTTTTTGAGTCCTCTTCAGATCTTATAATAAATAAAAGGCATTAAAATAATTGAATTTCTTAACAGAGTTATGATGGTGAAAATTGATGTTCGTTTTGTAATATAAGTGATATTCATTTAAACTTTTAAACAATACTGATTCTTTGCGGCAGCTTTCAGTGAGAACATCTATGGAAGAATTGCCGAAACGATTGACAAAGGAAAAACACGATCGCTATTATAGGCATATAGGGACGTAGACCAATTTGATGTTAGAGACGAGGCAGTATATTGCAGTGAACTCGACAGATATCGGCCTCCGAGTTTGTACCTCATTTTCATAGATACATATTTGCACGGCATTTATAGCGACATTTTCGCACGCAGGAAAACTTTCTATATGCACATGTTTCCCTATTAATTTCAAAAGATTGAAAGCTAAATTTGTATAACGTGAATGTCTGATCCTTGCATTTAAATCGATCTTTTCGTATACACGGATATCCCTCAATCATCGTAGATAATATTTTCAATAAAATAATTTCAATCCTAATATACAGAAATACTGAAATCATACGCGATATAATAACATTGCATAAAGTTCATGGATTTCACATTTGAACTTACAACGATTGTTATTTGTTCTCATAGTTAAAATAATATCAATTTTTATGATGATTTCATCTATTTTTTTAATATAACAGTAAAATGTTATAAATTCGTAAATATTAGTTGATATTATCATTAAATATGAATGAATAAGCTATGAAAGATTAGAATAAAATTAACACATTATAAAAATTAATAGAATTTAATTATTAATATATAACTATAATCAAGTTAACATATAAATATAATTATCATTAGTACATAAATGCAATAATCATTAGCATGTTTTTACTAAATTATTTTATTACTAATTATACATACTATGTGATTATAATTTGCATTAATTTACATTAATTTTTGTATTAATTTGCACTTATCTATCTTAGCTTATTCATTTCAAGGCAATGGATTTATGAGGTATTAGATACAATTATCTATATTATTCACAAATCCTTTACTCCAATTCAAAATAATTTCAGACTCACCCTGATACGATGTACAGCAGCGGATCGTAGTGTCATCACTACGTCGTTATCTGTAAAATATAAAAGCGAAATTATAGCAGCGATCAAAACAATTAATATTTAACTCTACGGAAGTCGCGATGCTAAACTTTTACAAAAGTGTTTCTGAGAAATACACATATGAATTTGTAAACTGATTACTTTAACTTTCTGATTAGAAATGTATACTGATTAAAAGTGTACTGATTAAGTAAAAACAATTTGAGTTATGTATACAGCTTGTATGAAATATTCCCGAAATGACAACGGCAAAGTAGTTCATTTAGTTGGCATTTTACTTTTTTAAATACAATCCGCCTGCGACTTCTTGAGAGTTAAAAAAAATTATTACGCACTATAAACATATAAAATAATTATAACTTTCAAAAAAGATTTCTCTATCTTATCTTAAATACATTACAAATTTTTGTAAAATTACAATATTAAATTTTTATAAAATTTTATGAGTAGAAATTGTTTTGTCTGATTTTTACCTTTGAATAGTTCGAAAAAAAAAAACAGAATTGACTACATTAAACTCAAATAACGAATAATAAGACAGACTTACCTCTGGATTGCTCCGCCGTTGCCCGATGCTTCCCAAGCCTCATCTCAGTTTCCATTGCACACTCGCGAAAACGCAATCACGAATTGTGTACTATTCATCGCAAAAATTATAAAAATTGATATTCAGAACGGCACTCCCGATATTATTAATTATATGCTAATTCTACAATGAGTAGTCGGTAATCCTAAGTCTTATCAATGAAATTAAAAGGCTCCTCTACATAAGTCGTATAGATGGTCGTGGAGTCTTAAGTCGTAGGAAACCAACCAATCATAATCAAATCTAAGGAGAATACTCGATTAGAATTGGTCAGTTTACTACCTTAAAATTCCACGACCATCTATGATTTCTATGTAGAGGATCCTTTAATCAATAGCCAACTTCACCGATTAAAATTAAGTTTCCAATTACCGACTCACTGTAGAATCAGCAACACGCGACATTTCTACGAAATATACGAAATATCAGTAATACGGCTTACCTTTAACACGAATCATTCGATACAACTCGTGGGTCACAATGCGTTCTCAATTCGGAGATATTTAAGTCGATAAAAGATTCGGAGCCTGATGGAGCACGTTCGTACTCTAACAATAAATATCGTCACGAGAAATGATTATTTTGCGTAAATTGCAACGGAGCGGTAAGTTTTCACTTTTCAGCCAT